GTTCAAATCTCACCGGCTCAAGGTTGACTCAGCCTTCCATCCTTCCGAGGTGGGTGAAATGAGGACCCAGACTGTGGGGGCAATTTGCTGACTCAGTTTGCTAAAAATCTGTAAACCGCTTAGAGAGGGCTGAAAGCCCTATGAAGTGGTATATAAGTCTGATTAATAAATAATAAATAAATAAATTGTCCACTAGGACTCCAAGGTAACCTCTCACAATTGACTGATTTTTGAGCCACATTTCGCCTGCTCTATATTCATACCTTCGGTTTTACCTGCTTAGTTGTAAAACCTTGATTTTCTCCACATTAAATTTCATTTTATGTTCTAATCTTGTGAAAAGACGGGTTGTTTCAGACCGTGCGAGGAGTCTGATTAGTTACAGAGAGCCTAGCATTGCAGTTGTTCAGCCTGTTTATGGCGTCTGTTTTTATTGTACGAGATTTGGCACTGGCCTTGAATCGCTCTTGAGTCCCCTTGGTTGAAGCATTCTATCCGTTTTATAAAGAAATAATAAAACCGGTGGAAAGCTGCCAACAATGCTTTGAAAAGGATGACCCTCTCTCCAAGGGGTTCTTGTTTACTCAACTGTGCGATTGGCTTTGAGCCTCTACAACAACACAACACATCAAAGGGAAAGGGTCTTGTGCATGTGGCCACTATCTTGACCTTTTTTTGTTTGTTTTAACTTTCTCAAGGACACCCTTTATTTCGAGTCCCAACGATGCTTTCACAAAAAACCAAACTGGAATTTCTTGCCCCCGCCCCCTTTGGAAGTGTTTCCCTTCTTCTGCAAGGGGCTTCTTCGGTTCATTTGAAGAAGCTTCTTGCATGAGAAACAAAACAGTTTAGAACAGAGAAGAGCTGTGGTGATGCAGTGGTTAGAGTGCAGCATTGCAGACGAATTCTGCCGACTGCCGGGAGTTCGATCCTGACCGGCTCAAGGTTGACTCATTGATTTGATTTGATTTTGATTTGACTCATCCTTCCATCCTTCCAAGGTTTGTGAAATGAGGACCCAGATTATTGGGGGCAATACAGGGGTGAAATTCAGCAGGTTCTGACAAGTTCTGGAGAACCGGTAGCGGAAATTTTGAGTAGTTCGGAGTCTTCTAGTCAAGCGCTCTGCACAAGCAGGGGGACCCTACACCATTTCAGGCAAGTGGATATAATATCCAGTCTCTTCTTGAAACCCTCTAGTGTTGGAGCACCCAGAACATCTGAAGGAAAGCTTTATCTCTATTTAATTGTCCTCACTGTTAGGAAGTATTTCCTTAATTCCAGGTTGCTTCTGTCCTTGATTAGTTCCCATCTGTTTTTTTATTGCCTTGCCTTCATGTCACCTCTAGTCCTTCTTTTCACAAGATTAAACATACCCATAAATGGTGAGTTCTTACCGGTTCGGCTCAACCGGCAGTAGTTTGGCGATCTGGGTCTCTGAAACTGGCAGCACTCCAGGCCTGCCATGCCCCTGAACTGGTTCTCTCGGTGGCACTGTAGGCACCACCATCTTGTTTTTAAATTCTGCGCATGAGCAGAACAATTTTAATCACACTGTGGATGTGCACACAGCATGCATCAAGCATGCACAATGCACATCAAGCATGCACAATGTGCATCAAGAATGCACAGTGCGCATCAAGCATACACATCATGCATAAAGCATGCACATCATGCATAGAGCATGTGCAGCATGCATCAAGCATGCACAATGTGCATAAAACATGCACAGCACACATCAAGCATGCACAGCATGCATCAAGCATGCACAGTGTGCATCAAGCATGCACAGACCACATCAAGCATGTGCATCATGCATCAAGCATGCACAGAATGCATCAAACATGCACAGAATGCATCAAGCATGTTCAGCACAGCACACATCAAGCATGCACAGCACAGCGCACATCAAGCATGCACAGCACAGCGCACATCAAGCATGTGCAGCACATATCAAGCATGTGCAGCATGCATCAAGCATGCACAGCACACACATGAGCGAACCGGCAGTAGTGCCTACTGGAACCCATCCCTGATACCCATTCCTGAAATCATTCTTCATATGTTTTAGCCTCCAGCCTCTTAATCATCGTTGCTCTTCTTGTTGTGGCCCACCAGCTGCAAGCGAAGCTGGTAGCAGACTTGGACAATGAAGAGGTTGGGGAAGAAATTGGGCCAGTTCTGGAGTCTGGGGAAGGCAATGATGGATGCTCAGCATTGGACATAGAGATAGAATCAGGGCTATCTGACGTTTCCCAGCCACCGAAGAGGCAGCTGCCTTTAGAGTCAGAAATGAGCGAGGAGATAAAACAGCCGGGGCCTGTTCCAGATGCACGTATGCGCAGAACAGATAGGAGAGGTGAACAACGGAGGACAAGGAGTCAAGTCGGGAAGCAAAACATATGTGGATGCTGAATGGCCCCTACCTGGCTGGGGAATAAATAGGAGGAAGTGGAGTGGTTGTCATAGGAGACAACAGTTCGTATTTCTGAAGATTCTGCTCATGGTGTTTTGTGCGACAAAGATTGCAATTGCCTGGCAATTATCGTAACCCAGCTGATAAGGCCTATTGCTTCCATTAATAGCAATAGCAATAGCAGTTAGACTTATATACCGCTTCATAGGCCTCTCTAAACGGTTTACAGAGTCAGCATATCGCCCCCACAGTCTG